GGCGCGCTAACGCCATGGTTTCGAGGGTTACAGTCTGGAAGGAGGGCCAGACTTCAGTGCCTAATTGGGCATTATGGCACCTCTCCTATACGCGAGATCCCCACACATGTCTCGCACGCATACTTTGCACGAGCAAATACGCTTTAAGACTGTGAAAAGTACGTTGATATCGCGTTTTTGGCGGTTGAAAATGACAGCTTAATTAGATATTTCTCCTATCTGGGGCCAGAATTCAGCGTTTTCAGTGTCCTTCTTTTTACGTGAGAGCTAAATCTAATTTTCCTGATATGCGTGGAGAGTATAATCTGGTCGTGTGTAGCGGTTGCGGCCCGGTTATCGACCTTCTCAGCCACTGCGCCTTCCCTGGCCAACGGGGAACCTTGATGTTTGGGACAGTCGAATTATAAGTGAATAAGAAGAGACTCATCGCGGATCCGCGGCCTTCGTCACCCAGTGAACTTAGACCTGTTTCTTCAGAGGGGACAAAATGAAATGCCCTTATAGGGGACTATCTAACAGTCATATAATCAATGTTTCCAGCTACATTTAGGACAAGACGCCGGTTTGTCGTATCCAGGATTCCCATTGTCAGTTAGTGGCTGGACGTCAGTCATCAGAGGGAGTTAGCGATTCGGGGAAAAAGGACGAGACTTGCGCTTAGGTCTCATTTTGGTTGACAATCATATCAGTCGTTAATGTACGCTCACCGATCGCTGGAGGAACTCACTCGACCCTTTCTGTCTTGGGGCTAACTCTCGAGGGCTGATAGCAACCGCACAGCAGCTCGTAGTTTAGACAGATAAACATTACCGGCAAAAACAAGGGAGACTGGAATGGTTTATTGGTTGTCATCAGCGAGCCATACCTAATCCAGGATGGTGCACCACTTGGGGCTCAAACCGGCGACCTGTTGGTTAGAAGACCAATGCTCTAACTTCTTGGGTCGAGTTCGTTGTCTTGCCGGTTCCGATCGGGAATATTGGCATTCGGTCGATTATAATCTCAATCAAGAAATAGGACTCTAACGCCTCAGTAGCCTGAGCACAACAATGTTTAGAAGCGAGTTTTCAGCTACTTTACCAAACGAAGTAAACGAACACAACTCCTAAGAAAAGGAATTGGGGCCTATGAATTTGCACTACAGCAGTATAGCTGATTCTCATTGGGGTCAGTGACATGTGCTAAAGGTGTACAGTTTAGTATCATGTCTGGCAGACAACTGTATATAATAACTTGTAAATGTAGTATCTTTCGTTCAGTTAATAAACGGCCAGAAACGTCTTTGAACTTCCCATTCGTTTACTTGTGTATACAAGGTTAATAAACTACACAAAAGGCTCGCCGTCAGTAGCCTAAATAAGCGGTCCTAATCAGGATATGGGAGACATTACAAAAGAGTCGGAAGGGGGAGGGCAGACGCAATTGACATAACTATTTTGGGAGGGTAAAAGATGAAAAAAATACATTTACATACTCCACTAAGGCATAATTACACAGATACGCAGTTTTAGTGAATATTAGGAGCTGTAAAGCCCTGGAAAAGTGAAACCTGCAGGCAGTAATTTATATTCTAGGCAAACGATCCCAGCCGTGATGACCAATCAAATTAAGGCGCAAAGAATTTCAATGATATGTCCTGCGATGGCCACGACTAAATGTATAAGTAAATGTACAGCCCTAAGCATATCTCAAAATCCTAACTCTATCCCTAAGCACCTAATCCCGACTCTAACTCTAACCCCAAGCCAGCAGCTAACACAAATTATAACGCAAAAATTGGTGGTTAACGCCAGTGACCTAAATATCAATTTCTTAGAAGTAAAGTCTAGATGAAGTCACATATCCAATGGGATTCCTAGCGTAGAAAGTGCGGTGCAAAAGTTTCCTTCCAAATCTTCATACAATGCCGCAGATGGAAAGCTTCAATAACCAACGGTCTTCTCGGCCTCTATTCAAGCAACAAAATTCTCACTTAAACCGTACAGAGCAGAAGCACACTGTCCCAAATAGAGATAGACCGATATAATAAGCGTGCAAAAGTAACTGTTGAAAGGCTTCCGGGGAAGGGGCGGAAACTCCTAGTAAGGAAGATGGCTTCGCA